TTCCTTTTGATCCGATCCGAAACGACCTGAATCAATATTTTTTACATTGACCCGAACCCGACCCGTTTCGGTCTCTGGTACTTACTAAGAGATAAGATTTTTATATCAGTTGCCATATAATGTTGTAAATATCGAATTGATCTGACGTAAGGCATAATCAGCACAGAAGTCCAATGTTTTAGAATACTATAGCGAATTAATGCAAAGTACACAATTTGTAAAAATCATATAAGTTTAAAAACAGCTGTTGTTATTCTCACATTCTTATTAACTGTTTAAGGACAAATTCCATATTTCTAAAGATTTTTCTATATTATTACATGACGAGTATATGATACCGATATGACTGAAACACGTACAACAATTGTGGAATTATTAACAAACGAATCTATCAAGAATACTATGCCGAATATCATTCCACTGAAATACACAGTGCATCGACTTGATTGTGATGAAGATTTAACGAGTATTCAGGAAGGTAGTGTTATCGGAGATGGATATCTGGTAATGGTTAGGAGTTTCACAGACGTCGAAAACTGTATCAACTATATTTCATCAGCAGAAACAGATGATTTAATAGTTCTGCTTTTATCTGGACGATTTGCTGACAGTATTGTGCCAGTAATGCTTGGACTTCTTCAAATAAAATTTATCTATGCAAATAACCTAGAAATTAATGATAAACATTTAATTAACTCTAAGTGTAGTAACTCGAACTACCGCAAAGTTAAAAATGTGCGTAATAATGAACAAGCAGTTTTAAGCAGACTCGAAAACTATTTCAAGTTCGATGAAGGTGCTTGTATGGGGAAATTATCATTTCGTCACGATGAATCCGAGCTTCGAATCTCCACCTTCAGAGTTCGGAACTGTATATTAAAGCATTTAAAGCAGTTTAGTCGAAGTTCGTAACCAAAAACTATCGGAAGTTCGTAAAGGACTTAACACGACTTCGTAATGAAAATATCGGTAGTTTGGGACGAACTTCAACCTTCAACGATAACCTATCTAATCGGAGTTCGTTTCTAGAATTAGTCGGTAGTTCGTAATGGAAACATTTGCGGATTTCGCAATATAAAAGAGGCGGAGTTCGTGATAGAAAAAAGATGGGAGTTCGTAACAGAGTTCGATTTACTGTAGTGAGAAAAAAATGAGGCAGTAGATCCAGAGGTAAAAACTGTCTCCATTCGAAGGTTCGTTACGAATTCGTAACGACCTTCAGAAAAAAATCAGACCTCCGTAATACGAAGGTCTGATTTTTCCGGTTACGAACTTCCACTTATTTTTGCTTACGAACTCCGCCTTTTCTATATTACGAAGTCCGCCTTTTTATCTTTACGAACTCCGATCCAAATTTTGTCACGAACTCCGGAACCTTTTATCATGTTCGTTACAAACTCCTAATAGTTTTTTGTCA